ACACCACACATGCACACTCAGACACACCACACATGCACACTCAGACACACCACACATGCACACTCACAGACACCACATGCACACTCACAGACACCACATGCACACTCAGACACGCCACACATGCACTCAGACACACCACACATGCACACTCAAACACCACATACACACAGACACACCACACATGCACACTCAGACACACCACACATGCACACACACAGACACCACATGTACACAGACACACCACACATGCACACTCACAGACATGCCACGCATGCACACTCACAGATACGCCACACATGCACACTCAGACACACCACATGCACACTCAGACACACCACACATGCACACTCAGACACCACATGCACTCAGACACCACACATGCACACTCAGACACGCCACACATGCACACTCACAGATACACCACACATGCACACTCAAACACCACATGCACATTCACAGACCACATGCACACTCAAACACACCACACATGCACACTCACAAAGATACGCCATGCATGCACACACAGGCACCACACATGCACACTCACAGATACACCACATGCACACTCAGACACCACACATGCACACTCAGACACCACACATGCACACTCAGACACACCACACATGCACTCACACAGACACGCCACACATGCACACTCACACAGATACACCACACAGGCACACTCAGACACACCACACATGCACACTCACACAGACGCCACACAGGCATACTCAGACACCACACATGCATACTCACAGACACGCCACACATACACACACAGATACACCACACATGCACACTCAGACACACCACACATGCACACACAGACGCCACACAGGCATACTCAGACACACCACACATGCATACTCACAGACACGCCACACATACACAGATACACCACACATGCACACTCAGACACACCACACATGCACACTCACACAGACACACACTTGAGTACTTCACTGGGGACTTCCATATTAAAAGGCTCCCATAATTTCTCCTTAATACCTAGACTGGTGTTACTGATTGAGCTGCAAGAAGCCTTTTCCTGCAACGTGGAAGAGTTTGATGTGTTTTGAATTCAGCCATTAGTAATGTAGGTGCTTTGGGATGCTTTTTAGCAAGACCTTTCCGTACCCACTATGTGGAAAATGAACTAT